ACTGCTGATGACCTTGTTACCTGCTGCTCCCTGTTAATGATCAGCCTCAGTTCTGATAGTAAACTGTTGGCTCTCGTTCTGTCAGGTTGTTGCTCAGTGACGTCTTGTTTTCATTTTCAAATGTCTTCTTTTAACTCTTTGCTTTTGTTTCTGGTTTGTGTCCTCGAATTTTACAATTAAATTTTAAATGCATCACGTGTGTTTCATCATTGGATGTTTATAGTTGTGACTCTTTGATTTGCTGTGTTGCTCTTAAGCAGTATATGTTTACAATAAGTTAGTATCATAGTATACCACACAATATAAGTACTTTTGTTTAACTGAAGTTATCACTCTCACTGTTCAGGTGATGTTTCTCATGTAAAGATGGAAATAAACACTGAGTCAGAGTGTTGCTGCTGGTCAGTCAGTATATTAACAGAACATGGTTCATAAAACTGCTCCTACAACTGTTTTTGAGTCATCTTTAAAGACGCTTGTCTTTATTGTTCTGTTTTTTGTGGTTCGGCACTTTATAGTGAGCCAGTTTTTTTAACTTAAAGATACTTTGTGAATTTAATTCAGTCATTCGGCTACTGAAAATCAAGAAAGTCTCCTCTTTAAATCCCTCCATTTTTCTGACTGTCTGGACTCTCAATCCAGAATAAGTAAGTTGTTATACGGTGTTGAGGACAATGTACAGATCCTGAGAAACAGACAGGCTGTTTGACAAAAGGAAGGAGGCCATTTGTGTTCAAGTAGAGAAACTATCGCTCTGTAGAGGAGGAGGGCAATAAGTGCTGTTCTTTCATCACTTCCCAGCAGTTTAAAACACCCACAGGCCTCATCATGTGATGTTATTTGTGCTTTGTGTTTTTTTTGCCCGCATGATGCCACATCGAGGACATCTCGTTGTCATGGATGTGGGACTGGATTTATGACAACCGAGGGCTCATCTTACAGTGTCTCACAGATTCAGTGCAAGAGGATCACACAATCCATTTTTATTCATTAGATAGAAGATAGAAGTTTGCTGAACATTTTAAATAATTTAAACAAACTGGTGTTTTGTGTAAAATTACAGTAGGATGCAAAAGTTTGGGCAACCTTGTTAATAGTCATTATTTTTCCTGTATAAATCGTTGGATGTTACAATAAAAAACATCAGTTAAATATATCATATAGGAGACACACACAGTGATATTTGAAAAGTGAAATGAAGTTTATTGGATTTACAGAAAGTGTGCAATAAATGTTTAAACAAAGTCAGGCAGGTGCATAAATTTGGACACCACATTTTTTGCAGAAATTACAGCCTCTAAACGCTTCCTGTAGGTTCCAATGAGAGTCTGGATTGTGGTTGAAAGGTATTTTGGACCATTCCTCTTTACTAAACATCTCTAGTTCATTCAGGTTTGATGGCTTCCGAGCATGGACAGCTCTCTTTAACTCACACCCCAGATTTTCAGTAATTTTCAGGTCTGGGGACTGAGATGGCCATTCCAGAACGTTGTACTTGTTCCTCTGCATGAAAGCCTTAGTGGATTTTGAGTAGTGGTTCGGGTCGTTGTCTTGTTGAAAAATCCAGCTTTGTCACTGATTCCTGGATATTGGTCTCCAGGATCTGCTGATACTGAGTGGAATCCATGTGTCCCTCAACTTTGACAAGATTCCCAGTCCCTGCACTGGCCACGCAGCCCCACAGCATGATGGAGCCACCACCATATTTTACTGTAGGTAGCAAGTGTTTTTCTTGGACTGCTGTGTTCTTTTTCCTCCATACATAACATCCCTTGTTATGCCCAAATAGCTCATTTTTAGTTTGATCAGCCCACAGCACCTTATTCCAGAATGAAGCTGGCTTGTCCAAATGTGCTTTAGCAAACCTCAATCGGCTCTGTTTGTGCTGTGGGCGGAGCAAAGGCTTCCTCTGCATCACTCTTGCATACAGCATCTCCTTGTGTAAAGTGCCTGAAATGGTTGAACGATGCACAGTGACTCCATCTGCTGCAAGATGATGTTGTAGGTCTTTGGTGCTGGTCTGTGTGTTGACTCGGAATGTTCTCACCAATCGTCGCTTCTGTCTATCCGAGATTTGTCTTGGTCTGCCACTTCGAGCCTTAACTTGAACTGAGCCTGTGGTCTTTCATTTTCTCAGTATGTTCCTAACTGTGGAAACGGACAGCTTAAATCTCTGAGACAACTTTCTGTGTCCTTCCCCTAAACCATGATGATGAACAGTCTTTGTCTTCAGGTCATTGGAGAGTTGTTTTGAGACCCCCATGTTGCTACTCTTCAGAGAAAATTAAAAGAGGGAAACTTACAGTTTGCCCCCCTTAAATACTCTTTCTCATTATTGGATTCACCTGTAAATGTAGGTAAGGGGTCACTGAGCTTACTAAGCCAATTTGAGCTCCAATAATTAGTTCTAAAGGTTTTGGAATCAATAAAATGACAACAGTGCCCAAATTTATGCACCTGCCTGACTTTGTTTAAACATTTATTGCACACTTTCTGTAAATCCATTAAACTTCATTTCACTTCTCAAATATCACTGTGTGTGTCTCCTATATGATATATTTAACTGATGTTTTTTATTGTAACAACCAACGATTTATACAGAAAAATAATGACTATTAACAAGGTTGCCCAAACTTTTGCATCCCACTGTATCAAAGTTTAACTGGGTCAAACGTATTGCTGCATGCTCCTGCAAATCACACAAACACATCAGACAAACACAAACATTGCCTTCCTTAAATGCCATTTGTATCTCTGTCAGAATCATTCTTTAGAGCCTCCCTTCACAGATGTGTTTGATCAGGATGGGTCTAAACAGCATTTCCTATAGGAGGTGAACAAGAGCAGAGATCTTGAAGAACTGAAGCATCCGGTGACTATTCCCTGTGGACACAGCTACTCCATGAACTGTATTAAAAGCTTCTGGGATGAAGAGGAAAAGAAGAAAATCTACAGCTGCCCTCAGTGCAGACAGACTTTCACAGCGAGGCCTGTCCTGATGAAAAGCACCATGTTAGCAGATTTAGTGGAGGAGCTGAAGAAGACTGGACTCCAAGCTGCTCCTGCTGATCACTGCTATGCTGGACCTGAAGATGTGGCCTGTGATGTCTGCACTGGAAGAAAAATCAAAGCCTTCAAGTCCTGTCTGGCATTTTTGATCTCTTACTGTGAGAAACAGGAGGTGGAGGCCATCAATCAGTCTGCTGATCAAACAGTGGAGCACAGTGAGAAGATCTTCACTGAGCTGATCCATCTCATCCAGAAAAGAAGCTCTGATGTGAAGCAGCAGATGATACCAATATTAAACACAAACACTGGGTCTAATGACCCAGGACCATGACGACATCAAAGTTTAGATTTGTGTTAAATAAACAAAATACATATCAAATATCTGGTGTAATGCTTCTCATACAGTCTTCTCATCTAAAAATGAGTTTGATTTGTTACAGTGTGACTGTACAGTTGTGCCCATGCGTCATTCTCAAAGTGTGGGAAAGAACTTGGATGAAGATGTTTCTAAATATAAAGTTTGGTCTTTATTCATTGAAACGCAATGTTTTTGCTTAGGTTTTAAAAAATATTTTTTTAAAAAATCCCCTGGTGTTGCTTGCTGAATGTTACAGCTCCAACAAGTCCAACAACCAAAGTGTAACTAGGTCACTGTTGTTATTGCATGACATAAAGAAAACATAGCACACCCTGCCTGTCACAGATAAAGCTCTTTATGACTCTTTGTTACATTCCCTTTACAGACAAGTTCATTTAAGCCTGTATTGAAAATGCATGGTGTTTACATAGTTGCTAAAGAGCCTCATTTTGTGTAAGAGGTCAACAGGAGCCGTGTCTCATTCACAAAGTGCAGGAAGGAACTAACATTGAAACGATTTAAAATTTAAAGTGTGACCTTAATTCATTATAGCTTCATTAATTTTGATAAAGATTTTAAAAACGTAACAAATACAAAGTCCCTGGTTGTTACATTCCAAATGTCAAATCTCCAGGTCCATCTATCAAAGATTAACTAGGTCGCAGTTGTTACAGCACAGTGTAATGCAAACATAACACACCCTGAAAACAGTGCCTCGTGATTTTATGACTTGTGGTACCTACCATTTACGGACCAATCTGTATTAGGGTGTATCTAAAATTTATGGTGTATGTGCAGTAAGTCTCATTTCCTTTAAGATGTGAACACGAGTAGCAATTTTTTTTTGCTACGGAATTCAGAAAGTGTCAGTCAGTGAGGGCAAAGCTGCACAGCAAGGAGATCGGAAAACTCAAATAACATTTTGAATTCTACAAAACTTTGGATAGAACAGAGTGTGTCTGTGACTGCACAATAGAACTGCAGCCATACCCTGGCTCTTATAAACAACTCATTGTCACTCTGCCAAGATATTTTTAGCGCCTCCCTTCACAGATGTGTCTGTATCAGGATGGGTCTAAACAACATGGTGTAAATGCAGTTGCTGGTGAGCCTCATTTCCTGTAGGAGGTGAACAAGAGCAGAGATCTGTTTCCCTTCAGAGCACAGAGGTTGTTTCTGTTCAGAGAAAGTCAAACTGTCTGACAGTCACTGAGAGACGGTGAAACGGCACAGCACATGAATCAAATGGACCAAATAAAATTCTGCTGTTCAGTCTGTTTGGATCTACTGAAGGATCCGGTGACTATTCCCTGTGGACACAGCTACTGCATGAACTGTATTAAAACCCACTGGGATGGAGAGGAAAACAGGAAAATCTACAGCTGCCCTCAGTGCAGACAGACTTTCACAGCGAGGCCTGTCCTGGTGAAAAACACCATGTTAGCAGAATTAGTGGAGGAGCTGAAGAAGACTGGACTCCAAGCTGCTCCTGCTGATCACTGCTATGCTGGACCTGAAGATGTGGCCTGTGATGTCTGCACTGGAAGAAAAATCAAAGCCTTCAAGTCCTGTTTATTCTGTCTGGCATCTTTCTGTAAGGAACACCTTCAGCCTCATTATGATGTGGTTCCATTAAAGAAACACAAGCTAATGGAACCATCCAAGAAGCTCCAGGAGAACATCTGCTCTCGTCATGATGAGGTGAAGAAAATGTTCTGCCGTACTGATCAGCAGATTATCTGTTATCTCTGCTCTATGGATGAACATAAAGGCCACGACACAGTCTCAGCTGCAGCAGAAAGGACTGAGAGGCAGAGAGAGCTGGAGGTGAGTCGACAAAACATCCAGCAGAGAATCCAGGACAGAGAGAAAGATGTGAAGCTGCTTCAACAGGAGGTGGAGGCCATCAATCAGTCTGCTGATCAAACAGTGGAGCACAGTGAGAAGATCTTCACTGAGCTGATCCATCTCATCCAGAAAAGAAGCTCTGATGTGAAGCAGCAGATCAGATCCCAGCAGGAAGCTGAAGTGAGTCGAGTCAAAGAGCTTCAGGAGAAGCTGGAGCAGGAGATCACTGAGCTGAAGAGGAAAGATGCTGAGCTGAAGCAGATATTGAAGCAGCTCTCACACACAGAGGATCACATCCAGTTTCTACACAACTACCCCTCACTGTCAGCACTCAGTGAGTCTACAGACTCATCCAGCATCAATATCCGTCCTCTGAGCTACTTTGAGGATGTGACAGCAGCTGTGTCAGAGGTCAGAGATAAACTACAGGACATTCTGAGAGAGGAATGGACAAACATCTCACTGACAGTCACTGAAGTGGATGTTTTACTGTCAGATCCACCAGAGCCAAAGACCAGAGCTGGATTCTTAAAATATTCATGTGAAATCACACTGGATCCAAACACAGCAAACAAACAGCTGTTATTATCAGAGGGGAACAGAAAAGCAACATTAATGAATCAACAACAGTCTTATTCTGATCATCCAGACAGATTCACTGTACGATATCAGGTCCTGAGTAGAGAGAGTCTGACTGGACGTTGTTACTGGGAGGTGGAGTGGAGAGGGAGAGGAGGTTATGTAGTAGTTTCGTATAAGAATATTATCAGAGAAGATTGTGGGAATGAATCTAAATTTGGACATAATGACAAATCTTGGGCATTAAATTGTTATCAAAACCGTTATAAATTGTGGTACAACAACATCCAAACTCCTGTCTCAGGTCCTCGTTCCTCCAGAGTAGGAGTGTACCTGGATCACAGAGCAGGTATTTTGTCCTTCTACAGCGTCTCTGAAACCATGACTCTCCTCCACAGAGTCCAGACCACATTCACTCAGCCGCTCTATGCTGGACTTTGGCTTTACTGCAATTTTGGAGACACTGCTGAGTTCATTAAACTCAAGTAGAATGAAGTATTTTGGTATTGTCTAATATTGTTGTATTTTACTTTTATACAATGGTGACATGCTTGAATCCCTGTTGGATTCTGAAATCACATATCCGGATGTTTGCACTCATGGAGATTCTGCTAGTTTTATTAAACTGAAATAGATCAAAATCTTTCATATTGTTCTGCTTTTTAATCTATAATATATCGTTATTGTTTTTTCTCTCCATGCTGGTTGTGGCATTTCTCAACACCACAGAGATCAGCTGTCAGTCAAACAAAACAAACAGTTTTTGTTTGTTTTGGGGTTGTTTGTTAAGACTGTCACAGTCCTGCGTCTGCCACCCAGTGTTTTGAGTTTTGTACTATTATTGATTTTTGGTTTTGGTTTTCAGTATTATTTTCAGTGCTCTGCTTCTGTGTCTCAGGCTCTTCGTTCCCGGGGTTCAGGTTTTCATAACGTTTACTACCTTCCTCATGTTCTTTTAGTTAGTTTATCCCAGTTCAGGTTCTGTCTGTCTAAGACTTTGTTTGGATTTTGCCTTTCACTTTAAATAAATTCACTCACAGCTGCGCTGTTGTCAGTGCCTCTTCTCTCCACATGGTTGCCTGGCTAACCGTGACATAGACAGTTTGGGTTTTGGGGGTTATGATTTTTTTTTAAGTTAGTTCAAAAGTGTTTTATGACATTTAGTTTTTACACATCTTCCTGCAGGTTGACAACTAAAGTCTGTGAACTGAGGTCAACACAAGAGGGCGCCTTCATCCTGCTAACAGAGGAGCTGGGAACTCACACAAGTGCAGGAAGATGAAGTTTGGAGCACTTTGGCAACAGTGGAAATAAAAACTCCCTTTTAAAGCAAAGAAACCTCCAGCAGAACCAGGCTCTGCAGTGCCCAGTTGGGACTGAGGGAGGAGGACATGATAAACACACCCACCCACTCCACCATGCCATGTTATATTCTTCACTTCTATTGTGCACTTTTTCACCCAGAACGTTAGACTCACGTGCAGTTTCCACATGTAAAAAATAATTAAAAATCTGAATGTGTGTTCATCTGATTTATTAAACACTTAAACACAAGCTACAGTATTAAATGAGGCTTTTGCCAGGATTGTCTTTCATCCCCACTGTAGCTCACAGTAACGATCAAACCTTGTGTAATAACTGTGTAATTATATCTACAGATTCATGGACAACGGTGTCATATATTGACTGCAAATTACCACTATATGCTATTATTATCATTTTTAGTATAAAATTACACAATTCTTAATTTGTATATTTTATTAAACATTATTATAAACAAATGAAGGGAAACATTTCAAGCTCAATTGATAGATGACTATACTTTACTATAGTTAATTGTCGGAATTAAATATTTAAACCATAAATTTGTTGGCAAACGTTACTTTCTTTTTCAACACATTGTTGTGCCACACCCAACGATTTAATCTTTGGCCTGTCGTGGTTTAATCCTGAGACTGTCTCACACTCCAGGTGTGAGATTAAAACACAGTGCAGTACAAAGTGTGAAAAAAATAGTAATAATAATGCAGAAATGCAGAAATTATACTAGATAAGTAGTTAATAAGGTAGTGACAGTTTGAGCTTTCCATTACGGCCCATGATTTTTTTCTTTGCACCTGCTGCTTCCTGCTAATGATCGGCTTGATGGTAAACAGGTGACAATCATTTGTTGCTCAGTGAAGTCTTGCCTTTAACCCTTCCCAGTTTTTTGTCACCTAATATACCGACTGCTTCACCTGCTGATGTTTTTCAGAGAATAACAACATTTACTATAAATAATGTTTTACAGTTAAATATAAATCTTAAAGGAATCATCTATAACATATAATTAGTGGCCTTGTCTGTGTTTAGGCTCAACATCAACATGGTAACGAACACATATACTAAACCCTGAACCCTGAATTTCTAATCTGTCAGAAATTGTTTATTCAAAAGTAAACTAGGCTTCATAAGTTAAGTAACTATGGCACTATACCGCACACTACGTGTACTTTTTTAAATAAGAAAATGATCAGCCCTATGACTCGTAGAGAACTTTTACTTTTTTTTACATACTGGTTTTTCCAGCTATTGTGCATTGTGACTGACGCTGAGCATATAAATAAACACGGAAAGAAACAATGAGTGTGAGTGTCTGACAGGCAGTTAGTCATTATAAGCAACAAAATAAACTCCTACCAACAAGTCTTTCTGGGTAAGTTTGATAAATCAGGATATTTATTACCAAAGAAAAGCTTAATGCATAAGTGAAGTCACAGATCTTCTCGCGGTGTTGGTTTCTCTACATCTCTACTAACGATCTAAGAACTTTCAAACTACCTGCATTAACTAACTAAAATAACTTGACGCAGTGCCCGTTCCTCCTCCTCAGCTGCTTTGAGGACAACAATACTCATATTGTAAAATCACAAAGGACAGGCTCTTTGCAAAGCAGAGTGAAGGAGGCCATCTATGTTAAGGACGGGAAACCATAGCTCAGAATCAGAATTGGTTTACACACAAACAAGCAATTTGTCCTGGAGTCACAGTGATATGAGTGAGTCATATGCACAGATATTATAACAGAAATTAAAATGCATGAAAAGGCCATAAATGGGAGCGAGGGAGAATAAATAGAAGATGATGTGCAAAGTTGTGGGGGGGGTGTTTAATAGTCCAGCAGCCTGGTGAAAGAAACTGCTGTTATGCTCTGAGCTGTTAGTTCTGATGGACCCTGAGGAGACAAACAGTTCATGTCCGGAGTGGGAAGAGTCAGCAGCACTCTTCCTTGCCTGTCTCAGGTGATCTTGTACGGGCAGCCAATCACCTTCTCCTTAGTGGATGACGCACTGCAGCCAGCCTTTGTCCATGGGCAGCATAGCAGATGGTGATGGAGGAGGTGAGGATAGATTCAATGATGCAAGTGTAAAACTGCAACATCATTGACTTTTGACCAACTAATAATTGAATTCTGTTTCACACATTAAATCATGATATTGTCCTAAAAGATCTAGAATACCACCTTTGATACAGAGTAATTTGTTCCTAGACCTCATTCCTGTGGTGTAGGAACCAGCTGTAGATACATAAAGTTATTATCTATTATTATTTGATTTGATTTTCTTAAAACTTGAAAGCACGTGTTTACAGCTAATCAAGTCTTCAGTATGTGGAATGCCCCAATGTGTATTCCTACAAGAACATATACGTGTGAACAATGTGCTAAGTAGAGGATGACAATGCCAGAATAATGTTGTTTCTACCAGTGTGGAAAAATTGGTTTATATATTCAATAATAAAAATCTTTTACAAGACTTGCAGTGCTGTGTAAAAGCTTTGAGTCACCCTTCATTTGTTTATATTTTGCTTTCCAGGATCCAGACTTTCTAAAAAAAATTTAATGTCCTTCAGCAATAATTCTGAAGGGTTTGTGATAGTGTTTTATAGTCCCCACACACACTTTTAAGCTGCTTAACATTGACCTGATAATCCTTCAAGCATAAAAAAAACACGCAACTCAAGGAAAGAATCAGTGTTGTGCATACAAATGACAGACAACTTGGCAAAGAAGGCTTTTAAAACTGTAGCTTTAGGCACTTTGTGGCTTGCAGTAACAACATATGTTAGTACCCAGGACAGGTTACACCAAAAAGCTTCTGTTCAATGAAGATTAATGGGAAAAAAAAACAATCTTTGTTTCACATGAATTAATCAGCTCATGACAAACAAAGCAATACCCAGTTGTTCTGCAATCTCAACAGCAGGCTGAGAACAATTTCACTGCACTGTAACAGGTTAAAAGCACAATAAGTGAAGAGAACAAACTTTGTTCTTGATTTTTACACCTAATTAGTTTCACTGCAGCCCGTAAGAAGCAAACACATCAATGCATAAACATAAAAAAGGACAAAAAAGTCTAGTCCACCTTAAGGGGAACACACAACTCTTTTTTTATCTGTACTGGCTCACTTACCAGGATGGGCGAGACAAATGAGTAAATCCCCCCCAAAAAAAACGAATCACAAAAGAAACAGCAAAACCTCCACAGCAAGAGCAGCAAGGGGCTCAAAACAGGGTTGAAACTCAGCTTCTGTTGGAGCTCGAACCATGAAGGAGCATCACAGACTAAGACATTAGAACTGGTAATAAATATGAATAAATAAGAATAAAAATAAACACATGCTGTAGGTGTAGTGCATGAAGTGACTGTATTCTCTTATTTATTGTTTTCTTGTGTTTGATTAAACTCCAAATGTTCTATTCTTTGACTTATGATTTTGATTTTCTAAGCTTTAAAAAAAAACTGTCTGCATCATTGTGTGGTTTTCTTTTTTGTGGTTATCACAGCGTCCGTTCTTTAACCTGTTTGTTTCACGTTCCTCTCCCTCCTGTTTTGTGTGATTCTAATGTCCTTTTAGGGGATTCTTCTGTCTTTCTTCAGCCAATGAAGGCTCGCGTTTTGTTTCTTAACAGATCTGTCTTGCATTTATGTCCTCTCTACTGTGACAGGTTTGTATGGCTGTACTTGCCAAACATGTCCTGCCTCTTCAGAAACTCCTGTTCCTGGAAAAACCACTGTTGACTCCGCCCACTTCGGTGGTGCATAAATTTCCTTGTTCACATGTTTTCTAGTTCCTCGATGGGTGTAACCAGCATGTCTGTGGTGAGCAACTACTTTCCTTGTTTCTGACAATTAGACACTGCAAGGTGAAATGGCACAGCAAGAAAGGTTCTGCTGTTCAATCTGTCTGGATTTACTGAAGAATCCGGTGACTATTCCCTGTGGACACAACTACTGCATGAACTGTATTAAAACCCACTGGGATGAAGAGGATCAGAAGGAAAACTACAGCTGCCCTCAGTGCAGACACCCCTTCACACCGAGACCTGCACTGGTGAAAAACACCATGTTAGCAGATTTAGTGGAGGAGCTGAAGAAGACTGGACTCCAAGCTGCTCCTGCTGATCACTGCTATGTTGGACCTGAAGATGTGGCCTGTGATGTCTGCACTGGGAGACAAATGAAAGCCTTCAAGTCCTGTTTATTCTGTCTGGCATCTTACTGTGAGAAACACCTTCAGCCTCATTATGATGTGGCTGCATTAATGAAACACAAGCTGGTGGAGCCCTCCAAGAAGCTCCAGGAGAACATCTGCTCTCGTCATGATGAGGTGATGAAGATGTTCTGCCGTACTGATCAGCAGAGTATCTGTTATCTCTGCTCTGTGGATGAACATAAAGGCCACGACACAGTCTCAGCTGCAGCAGAAAGGACTGAGAGGCAGAGAGAGCTGGAGGTGAGTCGACAAAACATCCAGCAGAGAATCCAGGACAGAGAGAAAGATGTGAAGCTGCTTCAACAAGAGGTGGAGGCCATCAATCAGTCTGCTGATCAAACAGTGGAGCACAGTGAGAAGATCTTCACTGAGCTGATCCATCTCATCCAGAAAAGAAGCTCTGATGTGAAGCAGCAGATCAGATCCCAGCAGGAAACTGAAGTGAGTCGAGTCAAAGAGCTTCAGGAGAAGCTGGAGCAGGAGATCACTGAGCTGAAGAGGAAAGATGCTGAGCTGAAGCAGCTCTCACACACAGAGGATCACATCCAGTTTCTACACAACTACCCCTCACTGTCAGCACTCAGTGAGTCTACAGACTCATCCAGCATCAATATCCGTCCTCTGAGCTACTTTGAGGATGTGACAGCAGCTGTGTCAGAGGTCAGAGATAAACTACAGGACATTCTGAGAGAGGAATGGACAAACATCTCACTGACAGTCACTGAAGTGGAGCCAGAACCAAAGACCAGAGCTGAGTTCTTAAAGTATTCATGTGAAATCACACTGGATCCAAACACAGCACACAAATGTCTGTTATTGTCAGAGGGGAACAGAAAAGTAACAGTAATGAATGAACAACAGTGTTATTACCATCATCCAGACAAATTCACTTATTGGTGTCAGGTCCTGAGTAGAGAGAGTCTGACTGGACGTTGTTACTGGGAGGTGGAGTGGAGAGGGAGAGGAATTCATGTCGCAGTCGCTTACAAGGATATCGGTAGAGCAGGGTGGGGTAATGAGTGCAAATTGGGACGTAATGAAAATTCTTGGGCATTCAATTATTACAAAAACAGTTATACATTTTGGTACAACAACATCCAAACTCCTGTCTCAGGTCCTCGTTCCTCCAGAGTAGGAGTGTACCTGGATCACAGAGCAGGTATTTTGTCCTTCTACAGCGTCTCTGAAACCATGACTCTCCTCCACAGAGTCCAGACCACATTCACTCAGCCGCTCTATGCTGGACTCTGGCTTTACTCTGGTGTAATAAGCGCTAAATTCTGTAAATTATAATAGAATTTCATATTCATATAAATCTGCATTTAATGTTTTCTCCATCATTGTTGCGCCATTTCTGTTCTGCACAGAGATCAGCTGTCAGTCAACATTGTGGGTGGTACCTCAAAATTTCCAGTTGTTCTCCTGATGTTTTGCAGTTTATTCTCTGGAGATTATTCCTTTGTCTGTTTAGCCATGGAGACTATCATCCCTCATAATGTTTTTAATTTGTAAAATTATTTTTTACATGAAAATGGAAACATCTCTGTGCTCCAAATGTGTAAATGAATATTTGTATTGATGTATTTTTATCTTGTTGTTTCTATTCCACTTTCAAGAACAGAGACGTGGGCAGACCCCCTTTAAAGAAATGTTCACACAGTTTTTTGTATCAGTATATAAAGAAAGGATAGAGAATTATATTTATGTTTAGCACACCAAATACTTATGATTTTGTTGTCTAAGCTGACAAACAAATTGAAGGTTTTAATAATTAAAAGAATGTCACAGTCCTTTGTCTTGATTCTAGGAACTGAAGAGTGAACTGAAACCGTTTCATAATCAGGGAATACGATTTATATGAGATTATATTCATATGAGAAAATGAACAGATTTTGTTCATGCACATTTTTGTCCATGGATGTACTTTGCATGACACAAAAAATAATAATGTAATCATGTGACATCCGTGAACTATTTATTGCATGAAAAATATTTAGTTTTTTTGTGTTGGTTTGAATAAATTCTTAATAATTTAAATATTTAAACTGGCATTAAAATGATTGAAATCCTGAAAATAATTCAATGTTAGATCATTTTGGAAAAGGGGTCAAGCTGATTAGGTCATTTATGAAAAAAAAGCTAAAAAAAAAAAAAAAAAAAAAAACACATATTGTTGTATGAGGATTTTATGACAAAGAATCAAAAGCATGCAAAATGCATCAACTGTATGGATGACATGTAAGGGTAAAAAGCACTACATTTCAAAAATTTGACTTAAAAGTAGATTTCCTGGAAATAATTCATCGAACAAGCTGTAACACAGACAAGGAAACAACAAAAAAGTTCAAGTAAATGAATAAAAATGCCCGGTGAGGTCATAAGGGTTAAATCAGGGTTCAGTACTGAAGGTGTCAGGCTTCATGGTGTGGAGGGAAGGAAAAGAGGACCCAAACGCAGGACTCGTGGATGAGTGATGAACTGAAGGCTGTTTATTATTGAGAATGGATGAACAGAACATGAACGAACACCAAACTGAAAACACGCACGACCGTAACGGCAACATCAACAATGACACAACAAGGGAATACACAGCTGAACGTGATTGAACTGATGACACACAGGAAGAGAACTAGAACATAATGCATGTGGACAGGAGGCACAGACAAGCAGGAAATATGAACAGGTGAAAAAGGAACCAAACATAAACAGAAAACACTCTGTCAGCGACCCAGGAACCCTGACAGAAGGCCATTTAAAGTTTATGCTTTTTACTGTATTGTAGCTGTATTGTTAAATACATATATGAACTCAAGTAACCCCATACATACCATAATTTATTCATACAGCACCTTAAAAACAACACATGGCCGACCAAAGTGCTGTACAGCAGAAATATAAAAAGTACAATAAAAATAACAAATACTGTACATAAATAACAATAAAATAACAGTTCCAGTTACCGACTGAGTCAAAGGCCAGCAAATAAAAATGAGTTTTAATGAGATTTACCACCATTGATATAGACGGCCTAATGTGAAGAGGAAGATCATCCCGAACCTTCGGGGCCACAATAGAGAACGCTCGGTCTGAGAGGGACTGAGAGCAACAGCTTTAGCTCGTACATATGTATTTATATTGTTTTCAATGTCATGCCGTAACCTACGGATAAGTCTTGTACATTCAATAGCAGGCTGCCACACCCACAGCTGAACTGTACTGTACCATATAAGAAGATTCATTTATTTGAAATGGCTCTTTAGTGGGAAGATAAGATATGAGTGGACAGGATGCCACCAGAGCAGACCAGTGTCAACAGGAAGCACTCTGAGAGTGCAAACCTCTGCCAAGGCAGCTACTCTAGTCCACCTTAAGGGCAATACCCAAGTCCTCCAAAGAACACAAATCACAAAAGAAACAGCAAAACCTCCACAGCAAGAGCAGCAAGGGGCTCAAAACAGGGTTGAAACTCAGCTTCTGTTGGAGCTCGAACCATGAAGAAGCATCACAGACTAAGACAGTAGAACTGGTAATAAATAAGAATAAAAATAAACACATCGTATGTGTAGTACATGAAGTGACTGTATTCTCTTATTTATTGTTTTCTTGTGTTTGATGAAACCCCAAATTATTTATTCAATTCACAAAACAAACAGCAAAACCTAATCATCCACATCAGGAGCAGCAAGGGGCTCAAAACAGGGTTGCTATTTTAATCAATTTGTTCCAACTGTTTTATAAGCGTCTTTTAAAAAAGCACCACAAGTAAAAAAGTTTATTTCATTAGCAATCACTGAAGTGGAGGCTTTACTCACACAACCAGGGCCAAAGACCAGAGCTGTCTCAGGTCCTCGTTCCTCCAGAGTAGGAGTGTACCTGGATCACAGAGCAGGTATTTTGTCCTTCTACAGCGTCTCTGAAACCATGACTCTCCTCCACAGAGTCCAGACCACATTCACTCAGCCGCTCTAGGTCAGGGTTTTATAATAAACACGATTTTTACATCATTTCCTTCTGTTTTCAGCAGCAATAAAGTGTTCTATGATCTTTTTCAACAGGTAACTTTTCTAATCCATCTGTCCCATGGTCCCTGAATGCAGCATCAGTATTACAGTTTATGACACAGTGTGATATTACACATATTTAAATCTGTCTTTACTAATGATGCTGAAGCTGCTGAAGTTTCAGTGAAGTTTTGTCTTCCTGCAGGTTAACAGCCTGAAAGTGATGCACAACCCTGCCTTCATCCTGCTAATAAATCATGGCGTCCTGTACGAGTGTATCGTTCGTTACTCAGTTATTTGGTCTGGAGCTGTACCATCTAACTGTCACAGGCTGGGTCTCTGACTCGGCTATCTGAGTGTAGTTTGTATTTGTCTTATGTTCGATTTGTGATTATAATTTGTGTGATTCTTATTTCGGTTTTAGTTGAGGATGAGCTCGGCCATTATTTATCACTGTCTGTGTTTGGGTTCCTGTCTAGTTGCCAAATCTGTTAAGCTGGTATTGTCTTGTCTATGTTTTCTATTTTATTTTGTAAAGGTCCTGTGTTTCCCTTGGTCAGTGTGCTTAGCTTTACAACTCCACTGTGTGTCATTATGTGCATTTGTGTCAGCTGTTTCCTTGTGTGTTTCCACTTCCCCTGATCAGTCCTGGTGTGTATTTAGTCTGTGTTTTATTCTGTCTTTGTCAGAACATCTGTGTTTCCACGTCTAGTCATAGTTTAAGATCATAGCGCATGTCATAGTTAAATGTCATAGTTTAAAGACATTGTTGTCATAGCTTCTTTGTTTTTCATAGTCTTCACAGTTTCATGTGTATCTCTTGTTACCAGCCAAATAAAAACTCGGTCTTTGTTCCAGTTCAGTCCCGTCTCCTTGCCTGTGTCTGCTGACTGTGACACTAACATTGTAGAATTGAAAAACAGGACTTGCTTTAGACATTTTCTGTGTGATTGGAGTCGTGGGATGACGTTTCCCTTTAATTTTTCAACTATTTTCACAAGCTACATTTACTGGCCCTGTAATTTCGGTTTGTTCCTGACATCAACATTTTCAACACGGTCTCTGTATGTCGTTTTCTCTGAATTTCTGGTGGCCAGTCAATCACAGTTCAAAGATACAAACTGTTCAAAGGTTGAAACTTATCAGGACGGTCTTGTTTGATTGTGGATAACACAAGTTAACTTGTTTAACCTTCATTTATGTCCCGCAGCCTCTTCATATTGTTGAAATCAAATCACATGATTATCATACAGCCAGATTCACTCAGCTCTGGATCGGTCTCCAACAGGTTCAGCTGCAGAGTCAGGTGACAACTATATTTGCATTTGTATGTTATCAATCAAGCTACTGTTTATATAGGAGCTCATTTAATGCAGCTTAAGTTTGCATAACATCCATCCTCCCTTTGACAACAAAAGCCTAGTACACTGTGTTTACTGAAAGAAAGGATCTCTTGTTGCGTTACTATAGGTTCAAACATGACTGATGCCATTCAAAGTACACAAACTGGAAACGCTGCCAAAGCTGTGCCTGACTGCATTGTACCTTACTATGTAACCAATACATTTTAAGCCTGGTCTCTATGCCTGTGGAACTGGGGCCTTACCTTAGTCAAAGTAACCCTACCCCATTTTCACAATACCCTCATTTGGCCTGTGATTGGAATATTTAGTTGAAATGTCTAAATGTTCTATAGCCTGGACACCTATCCAGGGCATACGCCACCTTACATGCAAAGACAGCTGAGAAAGATTTTGGGGGGTTTTTGTTTGTTTTTTTATACATAGTAAAGTAAAGCTAAGATTGCCATGACATGGCGTCCACGAACTGGCAAGCGAAAGCAAGGCCGACCAAAGACCACATGGCGTCGAACATTTATGGACGACCTGAGAACTGTCGACATTGCCTGGGACGAAGCTGAAGCAGTCGCTGCTGACCGACATCGATGGAGATCACTAGCTGCCCGATGCGCCGCTCGGCGTAGGAGGAACTAAGTACTAAGTAAGTAAAGTAAAGCTTACAGCTTTCCTGGACTAAAGGTCACATTGGTCTATAAGTGACAAAACTAAGAGTTTTAGTAATCGCTTGTATACAACTTTATTTTTAATTTACCATCTAAAAATTAAGGTGACCAAAGTCTTAAAGTTAAAATTTTTTAAAACCTGATAATCCCTCCTATTCTTCTCACTCTCTAACACTTTATTTCTTTGTGGTCCACATGTTTGCTTTTTCCCTTCAATTCTGCAGTTTGATCAACAGGTGGTCTTGCGTAAGAGCTGGCAGAACCCATTTACTGCAGAAGGTTATGTTGCTTACATAACAGCTCAGCGTAGTTTTGGTTATAAGGAAAAGAAACTCAGACAGTCGCTGACACTGTTGGGTGAAATGGCGCAGAAAGGAGTTCAGCTGGACCGAGAAAACTTCTCTTGTTCGATCTGTTTGGATCTACTGAAGAATCCGGTGGCTCTTCCCTGTGGACACAACTACTGCATGAACTGTATTAATGGCTTTTGGGATGAAGAGGAAAAGAAGAAAATCTACAGCTGCCCTCAGTGCAGACAGACGTTCACAGCGAGGCCTGTCCTGGTGAAAAACACCATGTTAGCAGATTTAGTGGAGGAGCTGAAGAAGACTGGACTCCAAGCTGCTCCTGCTGATCACTGCTATGTTGGCCCTGAAGATGTGGCCTGTGATCTGTGCTCTGGCATGAAGCTAAAAGCCGTGAAATCCTGTCTAGTGTGTTTGGTTTCTTACTGTGAGAAACACCTTCAGCCTCATTATGATGTGGCTCCATTAAAGAAACACAAGCTGGTGGAGCCCTCCAAGAAGCTCCAGGAGAACATCTGCTCTCGTCATGATGAGGTGATGAAGATGTTCTGCCGTACTGATCAGCAGAGTATCTGTTATCTCTGCTCTGTGGATGAACATAAAGGCCACGACACAGTCTCAGCTGCAGCAGAAAGGACTGAGAGGCAGAGAGAGCTGGAGGTGAGTCGACAAAACATCCAGCAGAGAATCCAGGACAGAGAGAAAGATGTGAAGCTGCTTCAACATGATGTGGAGGCCATCAATCAGTCTGCTGATCAAACAGTGGAGCACAGTGAGAAGATCTTCACTGAGCTGATCCATCTCATCCAGAAAAGAAGCTCTGATGTGAAGCAGCAGATCAGATCCCAGCAGGAAACTGAAGCGAGTCGAGTCAAAGAGCTTCAGGAGAAGCTGGAGCAGGAGATCACTGAGCTGAAGAGGAAAGATGCTGAGCTGAAGCAGCTCTCACACACAGAGGATCACAACCAGTTTCTACACAACTATTCCTCACTGTCAGCACTCAGTGAGTCTACAGACTCATCCAGCATCAATATCCGTCCTCTGAAGTTCTTTGAGGATGTGACAGCAGCTGTTTCAAAGGTCAGAGATAAACTACAGGACATTCTGAGAGAGGACTGGACAAAAATCTCACTGACAGTCACTGAAGTGGAGCCAGAACCAAAGACCAGAGCTGAGTTCTTAAAATATTCACATGAGATCACACTGGATCCAAACACAGCGCACACATCTCTGTTGTTATCAAAGGGGAACAAAAGAGTAACGTTAATGAAAGAAGATCAGTTTTATTCTGATCATCCAGACAGATTCACTAAATGTTGGCAGGTCCTGAGTAGAGAGAGTCTGACTGGACGTTGTTACTGGGAGGTGGAGAGGAGAGGGGGAGGAGTTTATGTAGCAGTCGCATACAAGAATATCAACAGAGAGCAGAGCTGGAAAAAATGTGGATTTGGACGAAATGACAAATCTTGGGCATTGAATTTTTCCAAAGATACTTATACACTTTGGTACAACAACAGCCAAACTCCTGTCTCAGGTCCTCGGTGTTCCAGATTAGGAGTGTACCTGGATCACAGTGCAGGTGTTTTGTCTTTCTACACCATCTCTGAAAACATGAGTCACCTCCTCAGGGTCAAGACCACATTCAGTCAGCCAGTCTATGTCGGACTTTGGCTTGAAGGTGATGCAGGAAACTTTTGCGAAATCAGATAGACTGAAGTCATCCATAATGAGGTGTGTTTAAATCTACACGTTGTCTTTTATTACAACACAGAGATGGAAAGTCAGTGAAACATTTGACAATTTGGACTTCATAAAATGAAATTGAAAACTTCTCTGTGCTCTAAATGATTGTTTAACATTTGTTTTTATGTATATCTATGTTGTTGTCTCTCTTCCACTTCACAGGTCTAAAAGTAATCACCAGACCTGCCTTTAACACATATACTCTGTTTATCATATCCTAAATATATAATTACATTTGCATCTATCATTTGGGAGACAAAATATTTTCTTGTTTTGTAAATTAACAAACAAGTTGTTTCTTCTATGTAAGTAATGAATGATGACCTAATTTATTTTTAATGTGTGGACAAATGGATGCTTTTTTAAATGAAAAGTTTTGAGGTATGAACAAACCTTTCATTCCAGGATCTCACTCAGATTTGATACAGAATATGTGAAACTAGTTTGAGGAGAAAACTGAAGTGGTTTTCCTCCTAAAACACCACAAAGGTCAAAGTTCATTCAGAGCAGAACAACCCAGGACATTCATCAGTCAGATAGACCTTTTCTTTCACTAAAACAGCTTCATTACAGAGAAATAATTCAAGCTGATTCTTTTATTAATTCATTCATTTTCATTTCACTTATTGTTTATTTTTACACATACTTGTACACATTTCTTTAACAAAATCATAATAATCACACATTTCTATAGCAACTCACTTTGTTCATGTTTTCAATTTAATTTTCTATTCAATTTTGTTTATACACATCGCGAAATCGCAACGACAGTCACCTCAAGGCGCTTTATATTGTAAGGTAGATAATAATACAATAATACAGAAAGACACAAACCCAACAATCATATGACCTCCTATGAGCAGCACTTTGGTGACAGTGGGAAGGAAAAACTCCCTTTTAACAGGAAGAAACCTCCGGCAGAACCAGGCTCAGGGAGGGACGGGGCCATCTGCTGCGACTACTTGGGGGTGAGAAAAGGAAGACAGGATAAAGACATGCTGTGGAAGACAGCCAGAGATTAATATCAGATATTATTCAATGCAGAGAGGTAGTGAGTTAAGAAGGTGACTGAAGAAGAAATACTCAATGCATCATGTTTTAAACACATACGTGTGTATAAGTGTGTCGTAAACCATGGATAATGCTGCAAGCTGTTCATTGACTTCTGTAAATCACTTTTAACTGCAACTGTGTCTGTTAAACACACCTGAAACAATGTGTTATCTCACTTTAAGGAAGAATATTTGAAATTATATAGTTGAACTGTATTAAAAAATATTTTAGAAACAGTTGTTTTTGCTATCATGCATTCCACGTTTGCATAAATATGCCTCGGTCTGTATTATAGTTCCTGTGGTCCTGTTTGCAGAGCTTTATTAACAATTTGGGATTTAAAAGAGTGTTCGGATTCGGACTTAAACACAAACACGATGCACAGGTTATGCTGCTGCAGACTCTCAGCAGGAGCTCAGTTCAAAAGGACATGAAAATGTAGTAAGTGTAGAGGTTTATAGAGCATTTTATTATACACCAGATGAGTCTGCTGGATGTGGGTTGAGTGCTCTAAATATAAAAACGTTGTGTTCAAAGGTTACCCAGCTGTCAGATCAGTGTATGGTGTGTCCCAAAGAGTAAAACTTTATTTAATATCTTGGGAACTGTAAACAACATTAGTGGGTAATGAAAAATCTAAACCTGTGGATTCATGTTAGACGTGTGCTAAGGCAATATGTGGTTTTCATGTTCTGTTGAGCCAGCTAAGGCAATTTAAGCCAGCCTGTGTTAACTTCCTTTGTGGTGTAACACTGGTTAGGTTCCAGATTAGAGATCAACACATATAAATCACCGCACACTGACCAATCAGTTCTCTGGGAAATATTGTCACTGAATAAAATGAGTGATAAATAACACAAAACCTAATGTCTTTGACTCCAGTACTCTGTCTTTGCAGCACAGTCCTCAGTACTTCTGTTGTAACAGTTTGTGCCACGACAGACTTCCAGTGCTGAGTTTACTGATCTTATCTCACACACACATGCCTTCAAAATGATGTTGCTCAAACTTATCTGTTGTTTAGCCAGCTGCTCCTACAGAGTAGATCACATTTCCTTGAATTTTCTGCTAAATTGTTTCTCTCCTCCTTTAAAATGTGCCTCACAATCTAACAGTAGCTCTGAATGTTGTCACTTTGTGCCAGGAAGCATCTTGGCATCGACTTTCAGTCCAGGATTTGAAATGTGTACTGGCTAGAGGTCAACCATGTAAAGACAGACAGTGCACAGGAGTGATTTGTAACAGGAGGACAATAGCAAGAGTGAAAGGGAGGGTTTACACAGTGGTAGTGAGACTTAGAGGTGGCAAAGCTGAAGACCAGGATAGACGAGGTTAGAGATGGAGGAAATAAAGGAGTAAAAGACCAAAGATAAGATTAATGGATGCAGTGAAGGAAAACATCCAGCGGGTTGGTGTGACAGAGGAAGATAACTGGGAGAGATGGAGGAAAATGATCTGCAACCCCTGAAGGGAGTGGCCGAAAGAAGACGACGACTGACATTCCACAGAAAGTTGCTCATTTCAGCTCATTTCTGTTGTTGTCTTTCAGTCAGGAAGCGCGACCTAGTTTTGCAGAGTTATGTCCACTATGTCCGCTTACATAAAGCCATGTCATTGTGTTGGATTCCAGCAATTCTTGTTCCAAAGAAAACAACCTGAATCCCTGTGAGAGCAGCTGTAAAGCACCTCTACAAGACAACTTTTTAAATGGTTATGGTCAGTTATTATTCATTATTACTGTATTTTATTGAATGACAGTACCAATAAGATGGTCGATTTTACGCTAGAGGCCCAATGAGACAGGGTGTCATTAATTGTGGAGCAACTGCAGCTGTAGTAACAGGATCAGTACAAGAATATTTAGGCTTTATCTGTTTTATCTGTGACAAGCTGTTCTCATCTTTATCCCTGCCATCTCTGCTTTACCGTCAACAACTTGGATATCAAATTCAAACCAGTCTGACGGGTCAGTGTGGGCTCGCATGAGCTGGGAGAGAACGCAGCAGTGGGTAGGAGTCAGTTGCTGCAACTTTAATGCAAGTCGCCTGACATTCAGTTTACTCGTTTAGTCCAAATTAAATGTTGCTCCTGTATTCTGTCCTGCTGGGCGTGAAGAGGAAAAGATGACAGAGATTTTTCAACCTTTCCTTTCAAATATAACATCTAATTCTGAGACAGACGTATGAAGGGAATCTGCTGGAATGGGCAGCAGGTCTTTGCTGCAGTTTAATTACCACCTCTATAAGTCTCAGCATGTTTTCATGAAGTTGTTTTCCCCTTGTTGGCTTTAACCTCAAAGAATAGTTTTGTCAATGTCATCTAAGAAGCACCCTGATAACTGTAATTCTGGTAACTTGAATAAACTTGAAAGAACTTGAAAAACACTTTTTACTGGACAGATGGGATCATCCCAGCACACTCTCTACTCTCAAAGTGAGATGGTTCTTGTTAGCTGGTTGGATACCACACATCACAGTCCTCCAGGTAAGATGGTTGTCAGTCTCTTTAGGCCTAGCTTCCCGCTCCACTGATGTTTCTGAAAAATCCAGGACATCAGTAAACGTGGCGATGAGTAAATGAGGTTCAGGTAATTTTAGACACCATTGCCACCTGGTAAAAGATGACAAGAAGTCTTTAGCTCCCCCTTAAAATTGTTATTTACATTCTGGCTGAGTGTGCTCCGCAACAAAAGATAAGACAGAAAACAGACACGTGCTCTGCAACATCAGTTTCACAAACGGCTGCTCTGTTTTCCATTTAGTCACTAGGGGGCAGCAATGGACCAGTACAGAATAAACTTTAATCCAAACTAATCCTATAATAATAAACTGCAACAGTCTACTGTGTTATTTTAACACACACACACACACACACACACACACACACACACACACACACACACACACATATATATATATATATATATATATATATATATATATATATATATACACATATATATATATATATATATATATATATATATATATATATATATATATATATATATATATATATATATATATATGCACGATTAAGCCTACATTTGAATGCTGTTTTTAATATTAATTATTTAGTTGCTCTCAAATCTGAGCTGCAGCTGAAGGAATAACAACTAAAACCATCTGTCAAACATTAATATAATACTCAGTTATAGTCCATCAGTTTATCTTTGTCCTGATGATAGAGTTGTGATATTGGCAAGTTTATTAAATTACACGATCTGCATTTTTGAGTAGATTAATACTGACCTCGCTTAAAGTATTCATACAGTGCTTTTAATATTAAACCTTCAGCCCTCCTGCAGCCAGTATACTTCCATCCATAGTTGTGACTGGTCGGATGCTGCCGACACCACCACTTACATGTGACCAGGCCAGTTGCTAGATTGGGAGAACTGAGTTGACAACCAGCTTTGTGTAACCTTTAATAAGGGTAAAGTAAATTCAGATGATAGAAAGCTACTCTAGATATTTGTTTAACTTGCTTCATAGTCCAAGGCGCATATTTACCTGGATTGTTTTCTCACATCTTAAATTTTGTGTTTACTTTCAAGCTTTTTTTTTTCGTTCTTTGAGCTTGCCTGCCCCTCGTTCGTTTTTCAGTGCAGTATTCCCACATCTGTCCTGTTATCTAATCCAACTCTAGTATATAGAGCTTCTTGTTGTCAAGATGTCTGTTTTTGCATAAGTTGGATTTCCTGTTTTGTGTTGAACTCGTAAAAGGTTTGCTTTTGTTACTTAATTTGCTTCTGAGTTGATTTGGATTCCCTCCTTTTTTCATTTTAAATCACACAGTTTACGAATTATGCTCTGATTCCTCACAAACCCAGTCTGACAAACATGTAAATATGAGTCTAGCAAGCTTGTTGAATTTTGAACCTAATATGCTGCATACATTTTATCAAGAGGTAC